CCATTAATGTAGTGTCAAAGCAAAGTGTTACTTCTAATTACTAATATCAAGATGTTTTCAAGGGTCAGCAATCCAGCTTGCTTTGCATAATCATCTCCAACTGAGAACCTGACAGTGAAGTTGTTTCTACCCACTTCTAGGAGCGGTATCATAAGCCTGTGCTAATGGCAGAGAGAAGGATATGATCTTTGGAGATCCTTTGCAGAAGGATATGGTCTTTGAGATTAAAAGGGTCCCAAACCACAGATTCTCTAATGTTCAATTGTGAAGCTGTTCAGTGGGATACACAGCTGTAAAACTCCTACTGAAACCTTCCAGTAGCCCTCTTCAGGAACTCACATCTGAACCCCTGAAGATACGTACCTTCAGGAATGCATGAAACCATCCCTCCACCTTCTCACTATTACCACTGAACACACACACCCCAGCAGCAACTCTCCTGTGCCAGTTAGGGGTTCCCAATTTTAAAACTCCTTGTCATAATTCACTATGCAGAGAGAGAATAAATGAACAATCAGTTCAGAGATCAGGAAGCTGAGCAATCAACTGACTAGGTCTGGTCCCAGAGTCCAGATGACAAGTCTCTGAGCTGGCTTGAATGGATTCATACAGTGGTAGATGTTGCTTCCATTGCCTAAACAGTATTTATTGTGACCTTCTTAGAGAGACTGTTCAAAGAGAACAGCTGGGAAGCACCAACTGAACTGTAGGTGTGCCAAGCCCCAGCCCATACACTTTTGTTCTGCCAATATCTCAGAGGGATGGAGACACCACCCTTTTGGATTCAGCAGACTACATATACATGTAATAACACTCTCAGAAAGATATAGAACTAGAAATTCTCATAGGATTCTTTATTCAGAAGCAAACACCTAAAAAAGGGTTAGAAACAGACAGAAATACCAGAGGGTTGTTGTGAGTTTTCCAGGCTGTATAGGAATGTTCAAGAAGCATTCTGGAACATGGCCATACAGCCCGGAAAACTCACAACAACCCAGTGATTCCGGCCATGAAAGCCTTCGACAACACAGAAATACCAGTTACTTTGCTGAGCTGCATCTCCCAGAACTAACTTTTCCAAGCTGTGATACTACTTCAGCACTATCAGTATGGCTCAGAGTTTGACATATTTCCAGATACGGTGATAATCAGGCATGACAAATTCACATAAATTGAGCTGCATTCATCTCACAAGTAAAGTAACAGAAATGTGTTTTTAAGGTAATGTAGTCTGAGTAATGGCAAATCTTGGCATAATTTAATCTTGGAATATGTTTTCCGTTCTGTATGCCACAGTTAAAAAAAATATGGATTGTCGCTTGATATCCCAAAGACTAACAGACGGAAGCAAATATTTTATTATAGACAATACTCATCATTTTGCGAAAAAACAGTTTTATATTCAGATTTATGCACTGCTTGCTTCATAAGCCATAAATCTGCCATCTTTCTAAAAAAAATGCTCAGGGTAGCTCAATTACAGTTATTGAGATTCCAGCTGTCATTATGATGAGGGAAAAGTGAGGGACAGACTGGAAAAAAATTCAGTCAATCAATGTTTATTTCTTTATTGCACAGGAAGAAAATTGACTTATAATACATCAAAAGTATTGAAATGAATCCACAAGTATAGTAGTCAATAAAACAAATTTATTATTTTCTAATAAACCCATGCATGGTTTATATATACATTCTGACCCATATCTGGCTTCATGCATGGAGGCATCTTCAGTAAACAATATTCAAGTCATTCAATTACCTAGGGGAAGGGACTTAAACCTAACTTCCTTTTGCTCTCCAACCAAATACCTCATAGAAGTGATTTCTACTTTTTGAAGAGGCTATAATAGGCATGTGCAAACATAGGCCCTCCCGGTGTTTTGGACTTCAACTCCCACAATTCCTAACAGCCTATTGACTGCTAGGAATTGTGGGAGTTGGAGTGCAAAACACCTGGAGGACCTAAGTTTGCCCATGCCTGGGCTATATATGCCATGCACAACTAGCACAAGGATGAGAAACACACTCTGGCTGCATTCCCCAACTTGCACGCCTAGCTGATTCAAGGTCCAGACTTCATAAATATTTACCAATAATGTGCTATTATAATCTCTGCAAGGACAGATCCAAGTTAACTGGATGCTTGAATAAGAAAAGCAAGTAGCACCTTCACCATCACAAACCCAAAGTACGAAAAATTATCTAAGTTATTTTGCCACACAAGGAAATCTTTCAAGTGCTTGTCACCATACCTGGCAGTAGAAAAATAACATCAACCAATTAAATGGTTTAAAAATGCCTTCCCTTTCATGACATCCAAATTTCTGTTAGGAATTACCCCTTTCTTGAGCCACTTCTACACAGCTGCATACAATCCCAGATTATTTGCTTTGAACTGAAATATATGGCAATGTGGACTCAGATATTCCGGTTCAAAGCAGATATTGTGGGATTTTCTGCCTTCATATTCTGGGTTATATGGCTGTGTGGAAGGGCACTTGGTCATGATATAGCTGGCACTGATTAGAGTATGTCTTCGCCTCCTCTCTCTCTCTCTATATATATATCTATCTATCTATCTATCTATCTATCTATCTATCTATATATATATATATATAATCCATGTCCTCTCAATTCGGTTCAGTACTGTTTATAACAAAATCAAGAGTCCACATACCAATAAAATGGTATTAAATCAGGTGGGTTTTTTTTTTTAAAAAAAGCACCTTAACAAGTTTCAAAAAGCATGGGAGAATCTAATTATAATTGATGGAATTTTTTGGCAACCAAATGTCATCATCTGAAGTGCCAGGTAAGACTGAGAAAAAGATCTCAAAAGTATGGAATGCCTTTTCCCCATTTGTTAATTGATTTTTCTAGAGAGGAGCTTCATAAATCTCCAGAGAATTGGTATGGTGACAAATAGTCCAGGAAGTATGTGGCCCTTAAGCCATGAAAGGCTGAGATAAGAACAAGGACTCTCAACTGAGCTAGTGGTGGTATGTTCCCAGTGCTGCAGCAGGTGTCTACCCCAGGCACATTTTTAATTAAACCATGCTTCCAGAATGTCTTCAAAAACTAGTCTCATATCACAGTGCTTACAAGAGGGATGGACAACTCCAAAATACCCTAGCCAGAATAACTGATGACAGTTTTAGTCCAAAAACAGTGTGCTAGACTTTGATCTAACTATTTTAAACATGCTTTAAAATGTTTTAAAATTAAGTTCAATAAGATTTCCCACTTAATGGATACATTTTGTAGTTGTATTTTGTCCTTAACTTATATCTTAGGTCTCATCTTGGGAGGAAAGACATCAAATAAATTAATAAAATACAAATGTAAGTAGAAAGATATATATAAATATCTAGGGAGACAGCTATTTTGAAAATTTTGGGAGCTGATCTACTCAGGACCTAAGGTAAAGGTAAAGGTTTCTTCTTGACATTAAGTCTAGTTGTGTTCAACTCTCGGGGGTGGTGCTCATCTCCATTTCTAAGCCGAAGAGCTGGCATTGTCCATAGATGCTTCCAAGGTCATGCGGCCGGTATGACTACATGGAGTGCCATTACCTTCCTACCATAGCAGTATCTATTGATCTACCGACATTTCAATGTTTTCGAACTGCTAGGTTGGCAGAAACTGGGGCTAACAGTGGGAGCTCACTCCGCTTCCCCGGATTCGAACCACCGACCTTTCAGTCAGCAAGTTCAGCAGCTCAGCGGTTTAACCCACTGTGCCACCGGGGGCTCCTACTCAGTGTAAATTCTAGAAAATACTAGTAAATCGAGAAGTAAAAAAAAATGAATCTCTTGTGCAGGAAGCTATTCAAAAGGAAAATGACTTAATATAATTTTGAAAAGTGGTTACACATAAAAATGAATCTGAAGGAAAAGTTACACATAGGGCATGCCTCAGTATTTGTTGTGTTGGTTCCTTTACTATGACAAAACATTTGTCCTCCCACGTCCTCTTCCCAACAGAGGCTGAAAAAGAAGCTGTTTTGTCATGGATTTTGTCAGGCTCTCCTTAAAATTCTTAACACTGACAACAATTGCCAATAGGCAAAATACAGGCAAACAAAAATAACTCCCTTCAATAGGATAGAGTACAAGGCACCTTTATTTCAAGTAAGAGAGTAGAGGTTCATGACAGCTAGTACCTGATGATATTTTGTGTTAAGCACATAATCAAATCCATTTTGCAAGTCTATTGCTATCCACACATTTTGCAAGTCTATTGCTATCCACACACTAACCTGCTTAATCATAGGTATCATTTTCTGTCCCTAGGCACTTTACTCCATATAGTCAATAAAGAAGAAGACTTAATCTCCAAAAGCTTATGCTATCAACTTCTTTCTCTCAGGCTCAAAGGTGACTCTTGACTTATCCAAGGGACAGATCAAAATCCAAAACCTGCCCTTAAATTAAACACAAGGAAGACTTATACACAGTATGTCTCAATGAAATCTGTGGAACAAGTTTGATTTACCTTAACATTGAATCAAGGGGAACGAATTTTTGATTCAGATTAGGTTTAGTTTCATGCCAGTAGATTACTACCAGTTTCAAATGATATGACAATAACAATGTCTAAGTCTAACGATTACAAAACTTATCTTGCATACGGAAATTTTGGTGTAGAATGTAATTTAATTTTGGGCTATATAAAGAGCAAAGCCTGTGTGTATTTTTAAGAAGCTAATTCAAATCTTCTCGCAGCTACTTATACCATCAAAGGCTTTAGTGCATCTCCCTGAAATGAGCATCCTAGCATTCTATTATTATAAGTTCACATCAGATATGTGATGAGCCATCTGGAATACAATTTACATGTCCAAATGTTCATGCTGAAATTTTTGATTAAGTATAGAGTGTTTCAATACCTATCATTACAGTTTGTTGAAAGCAATCTCCTGTCAGCTTGGGCTAAAAAAGAAAAGGAATCAATTTTAATCTACATACACAGAAGCTAGGATGATCTGGTTGAGTAAATACCTGGGATACAAAGGCATTTGTAACTTGTTCCAACACTGCGACAAATGCCATGGGCACAAGGATTCAGAGCACAGAAGTCAATCATTTGGGCACAAGTCGGTCCAGTGAATCCAGGACTACAGCTGCAAGAATAGGAAAGCCGATCTGCATAACAGGTCCCATTGTTCTGGCATGGAAATGAAGCACAGTGGTCCACCTTTTCTTCACAAGATTGGCCCAAGAATCCTAAAAAAAGAAGTAAAGACATGTTATTTTCATACATTCACCAAGTATGTGATTTGGGAGTGAGGGCATAACCAGTGCACAATTCATCTGTATGGTGAGACAGCTTAACATGGCCAGGGGGCACTAGACACAATCCAAGGTGACACCAACACAGAATGAAGTGGTTTTACTGTGCAGATGATTACACTGCAAGTTCTGGAACTGGTTTGGGGGCCAGATGGTGCTTACCAAATGCTGGCCTTGAGCCAGTTCGAGAATCTGCTGTAACCACAATTTGACAACCTCTGAGAATGCAGTTTTCACCACCTTCCACTGCCAGAATGTACATGTGCAGATCACTAGGGAGCCTCAGGTGTTCAGACAGCTATTCCCATTCTGAGGAGTCATTTGCACCATACAATATGGTTTAGACCAGAGCACGCTAATGTATGTGATGAGCTCTATTTCGGCCTATTGCCTGACTTAAGTCTAAAACCCTTAAAGCAGTGGTTCTCAACCTGTGGGTCCCCAGATGTTTTGGCCTTCAACTCCCAGAAATCCTAACAGATGGTAAACTGACTGGGATTTTTGGCAGTTATAGGCCAAAACACCTGGGGACCCACAAGTTGAGAACCACTTCCTTAAAGCATGTTGTAGCATGTGTTATATAACCACACAGCACTCTCAAGATGCCTTTAAACCGCATTAAACAATCAGTTTAGATGTGTCCCAAGACTCTGACTTCAAGTGCTGTTTCAGGCTCCAATATTGGTATTTAGATGATAGAGTGTACTGTGCTTTTACCACAGAGGAGAAGCTTTTAGTTTTTGGGCTTTACAAAATATTTAAATAACCAAAAAAACAATAACTTTTAATGATAGATTTAACATAATTGATATGCTCCTGAATTTACCATGAAAAAAAGAAACAATTTAATTACTTCCACTGGAAGTTACATAGAGTTGATCTGAGGGATGTAGAAAATTCCTATCATCTCTAAGAATTTGCTGTGTCCTCCAGGTAACTCTATGGTAATTTTCAATTGAATTATATCATAGGACTGCCATGGAACAGGGAATTATGGCGTATGTTAGGAGCCTTGAACAATAACATAGTTCCTTTTTTTAAAGTACCTTTCTGAAGGCTGGATACAATTATCACACATTAATGTGAGTGAAATAAATTGACAATTCTAGCAGCTTCTCTTCTTCATTTTGACTATCTGGCTTTAATAAAGATGGGGTTTTCAGAGATGTGTGAAGCATCTTGAACAAGATGCCAGTCATCCAAACTGTCAGTTGTTCTAACTTCTTATAAAATCCTCAAATCAATCTCTCTTTGTTTTTGTTTCAGGTAAGATGTCTTTGTCCCTTTCAAGGACATACCCGCTGCTAGATGTGCTTCTTGCACATCCCTCGTCCAAACCTGCTGGACATCTACGTTGCAAGTCTTTCTTGATTATCCCAGCATGGAAGGGAATGGAAACATCACAGCATTCCCCACCACTTTACCAATAAACTTACCATTTTTATGAAAAAGACTTCAGGCGGAAATGTAAGAAGATAAGGAGCTCTACATGAACAGAACAGAAACCTTGTCTAACCGTGAAAAAACTCAATGCCTAAAATAAAATGGAAGTAAAACAAATCCTCTAGTGAATCTTTCACACACAGAAACACAGATTTCTTTCTCATCTAAATAGATTTTTGATTCCCTCTCCATTTCTAATTTCCCTAAAATAAGATCAATATTGCTGAAAAATATACAACATTGAAAATATGTTACCTTTCCCTTCAATTGAGATTTTATGAGGGTTTTTTTTTTACATTTACAGCAGCCTTATATTTAAGGACTCAGATTAACTGATTTTCATTTCTTTATTGCCTCTCTTTCCATTTATTAATCCTTAGGTAAAGTTGTGGCTGTGGACACATGCCACAGCTTCAAGAAATGGTAAAATATTGGTAGATATTTCAGTGGATTTACTTTGAGGGTTTTTTCCCCTATAAAACAATATTCCATTTACATTAACTTGTATCTACTCCAAATGAATCCTTAATGGGTTTAGTGGCAGTTACTCATATGTAAATGCTTACAGGACTGTAACCTGTAGGCCCTTCCACACCGCCATATAACCCAGAATATCAAGACAGGAAATCTCACTATATCTGCTTTGAACTGTGATATATGGCAGTGTGGACTCAGATAACCCAATTCAAAGCAGATATTGTGGGATTTCCTACCTTGATATTCTGGGTTATATGGCCATGTGGAAGGGCCCCCAGTTTCCGGAACTCCTTTCTTCTACTGTGAGTGATCTTGGACTTTATCTTATTGTGCCTTCTGCTGGTCCAAAACTGTTCTAGTTTATTTCTGCTGGCTATTCCATTTTTTATTGTTTAACTATGGGTTTTGGAAACTTTTTGATTGGAATCACCAGTGATGATCAGTAGGTCTTGACTGGGTTGTTCTGTTTCCTGAGTCTCTGGCCTGCTTTGTTCTATCTCAACCAACACTAAATAGCTGACTCTACAGACCAACTCTGTGCATCCTGGTCCTGGAAACAAGGCAGTAACCTCATTCCATGCATACAGGTATTTTATATACTCATGTATAAGTTGAGGGCTGTTTTGGGGGCCAAAATTATGAACATTGATATGGCTCTTGGATAATTTGAGAAGAGAAAAAACCAATGCCACCTCAGGGGAGCAGCCACCTCTGGCTACTATCACCACCACTTCCCCACCTAACAATAAAAAAGAACAGAAATGGTGCCATGGTGGAGAGAATAAATTGTCCTTCCTTTAGGTTATCTTGGGACAGATTGAGCTCTTGCCTTTCATCACATTATCCAGAGAATGGGTGGTTCATTTTTTATAAGAATTAAGGTACTGTACTCACAATGACCTGTGGATAAGTCAACCCAATTTTGGGGGGCTGATTTTTGACTAATCTATGCAAATAGGTAGACATATCTGCAGGTGAGATACTGCGAGTTGACTAGTTTCTTATATAGTTTCATGTATCCTGTACTATGAAGTGGCAAATGGTCTGCTGAGAATACCCATATCAACAACCAAAGTTATGTAGCAAATCTAGACTAAACCCAAAGCTAGTCCTATCTAGAGCGGACTCAGGAACTGAATGAAACTTGGCAGTCACAAGTACAGTTCCAGTGATTGCAGTGTGTCTAACTGGAAGATTATTGTTAGATTTAGCACTCTGACAGAAACAAAAGAGGCTTCACTTTAAGCATACACAGATAACAAATGACTTTGAAAAGTATTTGACTGTAAGTCAGGAAGGCAATGCTTGAATGCTCAAACCCAATGACATACTTCAGAACATTTCTTTATTCCAGTTGTCTGAGTGATAACACTGTTAACTTTCCTGTAAATTGTCTCATCCACTTTGACAGGAGTGTATATCATTAGTTGTGACTATAACTGATCAAATGTGATAGGTGGGAAACTATTTTAGAAATGAAGTTCTCATTCATTACTTCAGACCCACTCAGCTTGGAGGTCAAATACAAAATTCTAGAAATCAAAAGAAGAAATTTGAAGTGAAACAAATGGAACAACTCTCCTTATGTTCTGCAGCTGAAATTCAGTAGAATTGTTCAAGCCTTGAGGAGATGAGTTGCTGAATATCCTTATGAATTCTTGCTATCATTCTTTCTCCAATGTTCTCAAACATCTTTTCTATTTTAATTGGTTAAGAACCTCTAGCTCAAGAAACAGGCAAGGACTTTTGTTTAAGTAGGTCTTTAATGTGTAGGCAGAGGGGTCCTTATTGGGATGTTTGACTTATCTTCCCGAGTTAGAATCATAGAGTTCGAACAGACCTCGTGGGCCATCCAGTCCAACCCCCTGCCAAGAAGCAGGAAAATCACATTCAAAGTTGTCTGGGATTCCATTCTGAGAGAAAGGTGGCATATAAATGAAATAGATAGATATGTTTTTTCCTTTAAAAAAGAAGTCCTGCTTGTGTTTCATGTATTGATCCGTTCCCAGATCTCATTTCTGCAGTGAAACTCCCCAGAGTCATTAATGTCTAACACTGCTTTGTCAAGTCTCCCATTAGGCAACACATCAAGGAAGTTCCAATGATTCATTCCCAGTAAATGACATTCACACTTCCTTTCCCTTTTTCCTTTGTTACAAAGTTATATACTTCCATCCTCCCTTATTCATTTTTAGGGGACATTATTTCCTCCAGACTTTGGGGCTTCATCATTTAAGAATATTCTAGCCCATGGCTTATTTTCCCCCAGGGAGCTACATTTGCATTTTGGAGCTCATGAACACTTATCATGAAGCAACAATTAAGCACAACGGGGAAAAGGAAACAGGGCAAGAACCTTCTGAGAGAAGAACTTCTATTCTCTGGAAATTTCAGGGCAGGCTAAAAATAGCAAAATATGCAATTTAATATTCGTGCCTTTGGAGATGGTATCCTGTAATCTGTCTGTACCTTAACTTCCTCCCCCTGGAACCCTTCTTCAAAATAAAGAAATCTACGTTCTGGATTCCTTGGCCTGTGCCAGAGGCAGAGAAGGCTTTTTAGCCTAAGGGCTACATACAATTTCACAAATGTTCTGGAGGACTGTTTCCACTGGCTGTTGAGAGCCTGGAACCAAAAGCATTATTAATGGGAAGCTCTTACTAATAGCAGCCAGGCATTTCAACAAGTTCCAAATGCGAGAGAACTATGCTACAACTGGGAAACATCAGAAAGGTGATATTCAAAGAAGACACTATGACTATTTAAGGAATCCCAGACTGAAAGCCTGATGGAGGACTAGAAATCATCCTACACCTCTCTTATTTAAAAGTCACAGGTAATTGAGGAAGAATCCTGGCATCACTTCCCTGAAGCAGAATTAAGGTAATAAACGGATCTCAATTGGAAAAGGGTTCTAAAGTAGAGACTGGTTAAGAATCTGTCAATAAGATTAAAAGAAAATGTGTACAAAGTCATATGGAGATGGTATACCACACGGGTTAAATTACATCAGATGGACAGGATGTAAAGTAACCTCTGCTGGAGATGTGGCATGCATAAAGGGACATATTTTCATTTATGGTGAGAATGCCCCCAGCTGAAGAGTTTTTGGAACAATAAATTTATGGAAATAGGTAACATTATAGGAATAAACATCACCTCAGATGCTAGGTTAGCATCACTAACGGATGCCACAAAGTTAAATTTAGAAATGAAAAAGAAAAAAATGGTGATACTAACAGTGGTGAGACTTATAATTGCAAGGAACTGGAAAATAGTAACTAATCTCATGCTGGAAGCATGATATAGAGAGATATGGAACGTAGCTGTCAATGAAAATGAGGGTGTTCGGGGCGGGGGTGGGTGGGAACTAATAGATCATATTTTAATTCATATTGGTCAGTTTTTATTAAATATGCTGTAGAGAGTGAAAACAATACAACCTTGTTGATCAGAAATTTTGGACACGACATTTGTTTATTGTTTGACACTTTATGGCAAAGGAAATTATACTTGTTTAGGCCTTGGTGGTGGAGTTATGTGTTTGTAAAATGTGAATTGTTTTGTGTTCTGTTTACATTGTAAGCTGTTAATGTATGTAAATTATATATATATATACACACACACACACACAGAGGCAATAAACTACTATAACGGGTGACCCATTTAGTGCAAAGACCCACCTGCCCTGGTTCTGCCCATATATTTAGCTAATTTTCTTCTCTAGATTTGGTTAGCATAGTATATTTTGACAGGGTGCTTTTAGGAAGCCACTTCAGATTTGGCTGACTCCCAACATCTGATTTCCTCACCGAGTACTGTTACTATTTATAGACTCATGGGGGAGGGAAAAGACACAAAAATATTCAAAATGTCATATTTAAACTGCTACCATTGTGTCTGTTTATAGGTCTCAACATAGCTGCTAAGTGGGTCACCCCTAATAAGAGTTTACTCTATGGAGGGATAAAGGACCAGTGCTGTGCCAAATACAAATGTACTTTAATTGTTACATCTCTGCATGGTATGGAAAGGCAAAAGAATTCTAAGAAAAGGCTGTATGTGCAACACAGCCTGGGTATATATGAAATAATGGTGAGGAAAATAACCAGAGCAGACTGTCAACAAAACTGTTATTTGCCATGGGCTCCATTATAAACCAACATTTTAAAACTGATGACTAATGTGAATGCTTTATTATTTCAAAATTTAATAAATTTTGTAGCAATCAAGTTACACAACAGACACTTTCAAGCAGAAACAAGCTACAAGAAATATGCTTCTAGCCATCTTACTACATTTCCATTTGACACATCTTAATATCTTTGACATAGATGCAGGAAGATGATATTTACAGCATGACCCTTGGGCACTGCTGTACTGGACAGCAGCTACACAAGCACAGACTTTCAATATACTTGCAGTAATAGGCACAAGAGCCTATGAGCCATATAAACAAATGCTAGTAGAGGACCACTAATAAATATGTTTGTAGCATCTCTAGCAATCCTGTCACTTTCTCTCAATCATGAGCTTACGTATCTCATGGCTACATTTCTACATTACCCAGGGAAGCACTTATCAGCCCACAGAGATAGATGCCTGAATGATGAATGGCTGCATGCCAACGCACCCAATGTGAGCATGGTTGTACACATATGCACAAATACAGAAACTCATCCCAACCCAAAGCAGAAATAATGTCCTGAATGATGAATGGCTGCATGCCAACGCACCCAATGTAAGCAAAGTTGTACACATATGCACAAATACAGAAACTCATCCCAACCCAAAACAGAAATAATGTCCTGAATGATTAACGGCTGCATGCCAACACATCCAATGTGAGCATGGTTGTACACAAATACAGACACTCATCCCAAATACAGACACTCATCCCAATCCAAAACAGAAATAATGTCCTGAATGATGAATGGCTGCATGCCAACGCATCCAATGTGAGCATGGTTGTACACATATGCATAAATACAGAAACTCATTCCAACCCAAAGCAGAAATAACGTCCTCAAATATCTGCAATAGAATTTACTTCTTCAATGTTTATCACTCACCTTCTGGACACTGGCAACTGAATCCATTGATGCTGGAGTGGCAGGTACCTCCATTTTGACATGGCTGTTGATTGCAGTAGTCAATTTCTGATTGACACAATTCTCCAGTATATCCTTCATTATGATAGAGTTATGTTGGTTTTTTTAAGAGGGGAGGGAAATGAGGGGGAGGGTTTGAAAGAGAAGGAAGGAAAGGAGAGAGTTTGAGAGAGAATGGTGAGAGTTTTATTTAGAAATGTATTAATAAATGGTCAATTTTAGTATTTATACTAAAATATGGATTCTTGTAAGAGAGCTATCTTGGTAATCAACATGGTGAGTATAAGTTGCATTGCTTTTCAATGAACAAAACCTATTCATGTGCATTTGCAGTAACAAAGAACACTACTTTGTAAGAAAATCATTCTGAAGATACTAGCAGATGTTATTCTGACTTAACACCAAACCATCAATGGATTAATTCGATTTCATTTATATCCCACCCTTTTCCAGCATTATACAAGAAAGTCTTGGGCTTGCAGAATTTATTATTATGCTTGAATCTGATACAGAGGGTAGTTATTGCTATGACAGGAGGAAAACCACCTTCTGGTTGTGCTTAAGAACCATGGCTTCCAGATGTGACAATTAGCCACAATGAATTCAAAGCAGAGGCAAAAGCTTCCAGTTTTCTTGAACACAGATGGAATATGACGTTCATCAAGTTCATATGGAAACAGATTATCCTCTTGTGAACTCCATTTCAATTAAGATTTTGAAGGCCAAAGCAAGCAATGAATTTTGTGCATTATTTGAGAATGGACAATAAGTTACAATATACTCGTTTCATATTAAAAATGTAAGAACTTTTTCTTCTATAAAAATATAATTCTATATATAGCACAGATTGTCATGTTTTCACAAAGCTGACAACGATTTGTCAAATTTGTGATATTGCTTTGAATTATGATAAAAAGAAGGCCAGAAGTCTTTTAAAAAGTCTCTGCTCATTGTTTTCCCGTTTTTGGATTTAAGTGGATGGCAACATGAAAAAGTTCATTTTCAGTTAAAGCCATATCTCTGAAAGCCTACTTGAGGGACCACATCTCCTCCTATCAGCCCATACGAGCCCTGAGAGCATCAGGAGAAGCCCTCCTCTCGGTCCCACCATCGTCACAAGTATGGTTGGTGGGAACGAGAGAGAGGGCCTTTTCGATGATGGCCTCCATGGCTCTGGAACTCCTGCCCCAAAGAGATGCATTCAGCCCCTCATTATTGGCCTTTCGCTCCCAGGTGAAAACTTTTTTATGGAAGCAGGCCTTCCCCAAAAACACACAATAGCAGCTTATCTCAGTCAGACAAGGCTCACATGGCCAAAGACTTGGAGCTCCGAGACATTTAGTTTAATGTTTTAATGTTTTAGGACAACCTCAGTGGCCTGAGGCATAGGGATTTTAATGTTAAGGTTAATGATAATGATATATGTGGTTATTTTTATGCTTATTTATATTTATTTAATTTGTGTTTTATGCAATATGTTGATTTATTGTTTTATATGTCAGGTTGGGGGAATGATGGTTTTCTGTATTATGTAGTTTTGTTTTTCTATTTTGTTCACCTCTTTTAGTCCCATCTATGGGAGAAAAGTGGGAGAAAAATAATTAATCGAATAAATAAATAATTCCCAACATCCTCTTGTGGTCACACTTGTTTTTTAATGGAATCTGATGTAGTCTTTCACTATGGCTGGTTTTTCTATTTTGCTGGGGGGGGGGGCAGCTTTAAATATCTGTATTAGTCCTTGAGTTATGAGTACTGTTAAGAAACAAGGGGATGAAAGGAAGAATACATTTCCCTTTTGCTTCTTCTTCCACTACCACACCAATGATATGGAAGCAGGGAGTTGAGAGCTGGGGAGCTCATGAGAAGGTGGTGACCATGTATGTAAGGGAAAGCCCAAACATCCTCTTTGATCATTCAGATTAGCATCCAAGTAGGAAGGAATAAACCTTGAAATGTTCACCTCTCACCTCAAGGCAATTTCTAGGCCTTAATCCTGAGCTTAGCTAAGTTATCTGCCAAAATTTTCAAAGACTGCTAAGCCTTTAAAAAAGAGGGTACTTCTTAAAAACACGATCTTTACAACCTTTCTACAAGAAATTTAACGCAAACTAAAAACCCACCTGCAGTGGGTGAGGAATATTTCAATTCCTCTCTCAAGACCTGGGCAATGACTTTGACTATCTATATTTATTTCTATTAAAATGAACAGACTACACTCACTGTGACCTTGCCTGTAAAGCTTATTGAAGCAGCTCTCCTTCAAGTTCAATTACAGACTAATTTATCTTCATAAATGTACTTTGCTGTTAATAGAATTTAAAGCATTACTCAACCATATTTACATATCTTTCTTGTTAAGGATATACTTGGATGCATATTTATATTAAATCTAGCAGATGAACATCTATGCGCATAAAAGAGTTCAGTTTCTTGAAAGAACCTTTTAAGCAGAATCTAGGCTAGAAAAGGTGATATAACTATGTGTCATGTAGTTGTGAAAGAAATTGGAATAAGATGGAGAAACATCAATCTTGAAGGACATGGAACATTTATCACATACACAAAAGGCAACTCTGTATTTCCATCATAATATGGTCTACTCAAGAAACAGGGGAGTATTGTCAAAAGGGTGGACAACCACTAGTATATTTCCAGATACTAGATTGTAATTGTAGGTTTTGGATTATAATTCCTATCATCCATGTTTTGTAAGGCTAGAGTTCAAAATCCAACAACATCTGAACATCCACAATCCCACCCCCAATCTTGCAACAGGGGGAGCAATTTCAGAGTATCCTTGATAATAACCATGTACTGAACAAACATTCACTTCTATGTACTATGCACCCTCAGTATTTGCTCAGGTTTGGTTCTGGGATATCAGAATTCATAAATGTTCAAGTCTCGTTATATAAAATCACACAGTGTGGATATGGATGGCTGATGTTTGCCTATACTAGTTTTGCCTGCTGAGTAAAACCTATCCCTGTCCTGCTTAGCAAATTTCTGCAGATTTCTGCCCCTAATTCCATGGGTCAGAACATAACGCACACATCCATACAGTCATTTCCAGAGTACGTATTCTCTCATGGTTCTGGGCAAATAATTTTAATCACCTCATGCTTTCTTCCCCTCTTCCTTCCTACTGGGTGTCTTCTACCTTTTAGATTGCAAGCCTGAGGGAAAGGACTATCTGAGACCCCTTCTAAAATCCAGATTATCTGCTTTGAACTGGGTTATATAGCAGTGTGGACTCATATAGTCCAGTTCAAAGCAGATAATGTTTATGATCTGCTTTGATAATCTGGATTATATGGCAGTGTAGAAGGGGCCTAAGTGATGCTTTTTGTAAATGATGCACTTTGGGCATATCCTTGGAGGGGGAGGGAATAAATATTAGGCTTGTGCAGAAAAATCGTATCCCGTCTTAGGTTGGAACTAATTTGTTAGTTTCGTACTTGTGATGAAATATCCAATGTGAGGGCATGGTCCACGCCAAAAATTAAAGAATCAAAACTTAAGAGGGCTTCGATATTTAAGTTTCTATTTCTTCTTAAGTCTGTGTGTGATGCAGCAAACAAATCGCAGAGCAACCAAGCCCTGCTGAGAGGCGAAGTCAAACATTTGGAAATGTCTCTCAGCTAATAATGGCTGAGGGAGGGGGAAGGTGGAGCAGCCGCCATTTTGGCTTTAAATTCCAGAGCGTGCCAGCACAGGTGCCATTTGCACTCTGGAAGAGATTGAGGGAGAAGGATAGAGCTTGAGGCAGGGAGAAGGAAGGGAGAAGGGAGACAGCTTGCACAAAGGAAAAGGAGAAGGAGGAGAGGAGACCATTGGGACTGGCTGCTGGGCTAACTTTAGCATTTTGAGTTATTGCTGGCTGCTGGCTGTTACATTAGTCACTTGCACAAAGGGGCAACACGCTACTACTACTTTGATATTATTCTGAGTTTAATAAATATTATGGCATACCATTAATAGCTGGCTGGCTGCCTTGGACATTTGAAATTGGTATTTTGAGTATAATAGCAACCTTGGACACTGGACACAGTCTGGCTTCTGTTGCCTTTGACACACCAGCACAAAGGGGCAACCCTACTTATAAGAAAGTCAGACTAGATGGTCCTTGGGGGTCCCCTCCAACTCCAGGATTTTATGAAAATGTAGAATTGGTATTGGTTTCTATTGGTTAATATGAAAGATATTCAATAAGATAGCTGTTTTAGCCTTTTTAAAAAAAGTTTTTGTCAACAAAAATTAAAATCCCTAAAATCAGTAGATGTAAGAATATTTCTGAAAGCTGGGGAAAAAAGATGTAGGAATATTTCTGAAAGCTGGGGAAAATCATCTTGTGTCATTGGATAGAAAATTCAAGGAGATAGCTCTTGTAGCTTTTGTTTTGTAAAAATGTTGTTTATAAACACTTTGAAAATTCCCCGGAGTGTGGTGGAGGCTCCTTCTTTGGAAGCTTTTAAACAGAGGCTGGATGGCCATCTGTCAGGGGTGATTTGAATGCAATATTCCTGCTTCTTGGCAGGGGGTTGGACTGGATGGCCCATGAGGTCTCTTCCAACTCTATGATTCTATGATTCCCCCAAAATTTTGAGTATAATAGTTGTAAAAATGAGGGAGAAAGGAGTCCCTGAAGTTTTTCAAATTATAATAATTATGTGCAATTACCACAATGAAAAAGAAACAAAATGTCATCACTCTCACTTTAGTAACAAGATTTTCACTAACAATACTTTAGAAATGAAACGCCAGTGCCCCCCCCCTCCCCAGTTTTGTAATGTCTTTTGAAACATTTTTATGGATCATAATGCCTAATAAATATTCTTCAAATAAATGAACAAACGAATAAACAAATGAATAAAACAGCTCTATATTTTGGTACAGAACAGAACATTTGTTCTCCAGAAACTACCCTTCCCTCTCACATCTATATTAAAATTGCTAGATCAGACATAGACCACCCAGCCATGTTTATAGGCCATATTCTTTCTTAGGACATTGCCTTACCTGTATTTCTACTACGGGGGCATCTTCATTAGTGTCTGCAAACTAATGTGCAGCTATGATTTCCATACATATCTAAACATTGCTCTTCTATTAGTTTCTGTCAGATTTAAGGGATGCAGGTTTAGGTGTAGTTGGAAAATTTGTTGCCATGGAGGCAACTTCTTGTTGTATGACCAGCATTGGCAAAGCTGCTACAACTCAGAGCTGCTACAGGAAGAGAAGCCATAAAACCAAACAGGAATTTGGTGCACCCACAGCAAGAGACACACCAGCCACTGCTGTGCAGGACATACTTTTCCAAAGCAAAAAAGGAAGCAACACAGAAGTACATGAGTCCAGGCACAACCCAAAAAACATACCAGAGAGGCAAGTGCAGGTGAAGTGGCTTCCATCGTGTTTTTCTAACACATCCAAGCAGGTTCCATTGTTCTGACATGTGTTGCTTTGACAGGCATTGAATTCTTCACAGAGACCACCCAAATACTGATCTTCACAATCACAGAAAAATGTTGCCTAGAACAAAAAAAAGACACTACTATGAATCTTCAAAGGTTCCTTCTAAGCTGTGATCTTGATCAAGGAAAGAAGCATCCCTAAGGTTAGAGAGTAGTCTAGCTGTGGCAAATGACCAATTACGAGGGTAACAAGATCTCTTGGGGGAAGTGCCTTAAAATACAGATGCTTATGCAAAAAAAGCAGCTTCTGAACTTTGATTATGACCAATTTAGTATGTTACAGCCATTCATCTGAGATTAATTACATATTTTTAGAGAGAAAAAAGCACCCTCATTCCTGTTTTTATAAGCATCAACAGAGAATAGAATTTTAACTGAAATCTTAAAGATATGTTGAGTACACAAGATGAAAAGAAAAACAACTAGCTAACTATTTGGTTACAATTTAACATTTATGCAACTCAATTTTTATGCAAATTTACTCAGACACAATCCCTGTGAATTTCATGTAGGTTATTCCCAATAATGTAAATATATAAATACAGTAGAGTCTCACTTATCCAACCTTTGATCATCCAACGTTCTGTATTATCCAACACAGTCTGCCTCCCGCCTGCATCCACAGCTGTTTCTCTAGGCAGTCAATGTTTTCAATACATTGTGATGTTTTGGTGCTTAATATTACCATGTACTGAACTGCTTTTTCTGTTGATTTGTTGTGAAAGATGACATTTTGGTGCTTAATTTGTAAAATCATAGCGTAATTTGACATTTAATAGGCTTTTCCTCAACCCCTCCAACATTTTCGCTTATCCAATGTTCTGCCGGCTCATTTATGTTGGTTAAGCGAGACTCTACTGTATAGCCAAATTCAGTTGGTGACTTTACAAATCTGAGCCAAACATCTTCCTATTTTAGATAGTGAGGCAAATGACTCCAGCCCTCAAGCCAATATACATAGTATACAATGCCAAACAAATTCTTTCGGCATCTGAGAGAGATAATCCAGCACGTATCCCTCCTACTCTCTGGAAGCATCTCTCCTGGTAGGGCAGGGGTCCGTCCTATTCAGATGCCAAAAACATGGCAGGCTGCTAGAACAACACACCAAGATTTTACCCTCAAATTCTAAGATTCAAAGAGAAAACTCAAGCATTTTCCTCATAAAAAGTTTCATGAGTTCAGTTTGCAGTGGGAGTTCTTTCCTCCTGAATGAGCTCTTTTTCATGTTACAAGATACCATGGAGATCAGTATGCAGTGCCATGGGAACAGTGAATCCATGGTATATTTTACGGTTGATTCATCCACAGCTGATCTATATTGAGAGAGTGTCCATACTCTTGGACCATATTCTAGGCAGAGGTTTAGCACCAGGAGAGCTGGCCTATGACCTAGAGCAGCATAAACACCTGCTGCTTTCACAGCAGTGGATCCACTAGTTGCCAAGGGATGCCTGCACTTGCTTTTCACTACATGTTATAATATCTGGAGCACACCTAAGAAATACAGAAAAACAACAAAAATATAACAGTAATAAATACCAGCTTAATTTTTTTTTTTTGCATATATTCCTTTTTCTGGCTGCTGGCCTATTTTGAATACTAATTAGTAACTGGTTTTTCAGTTTCTGCTCTTTTGGCAACAATTTGATAGTTTTGGTAATTACTAGAAATACTAGAATGGGAGAACAGAAACAGAATGTCACACAGCCACTACTTTGCTATGATAGGTTTTCAATTAAACTGTTGTAGGCCCCGGTTGTACAGTGGGTTAAACCCTTGTGCCAGCAGGACTGAAAACTGACAGGTCGCAGGCTTGAATCCGGGGAGAGAGCGGATGAGCTGCAAGACTAAGAACAAGCCGCAAGAGCAAAGACAAAGATCCATCCAGAGGAAAAGTGTTCTTACCATACATTAAGGGAACTACTGGCCACATAGGGATGCTGATAAAGAAACACAACCTACAAACTATCTACAGACCCACTAAGAAAATTCAACAAATGCTACATTCAACAGAGGACAAAAGGGATCCTCTCACTTCTGCAGGAGTCTACCATATACCATGCAGCTGTGGACAAGTCTACACAGGGACCACCAAATGCAGTGCCAAAACATGAATCAAGGAACATGCAAGGCACTGAAGACTACTTCAGTCAGAGAAGTCAGCCATGATGAAAAAAACCTGGACACAGCATATTATTTGAGAACACAGAAATGCTGGACCACTCTAACAACCACCATGGCAGACTACACAGAGAAGCCAATGAAATACACAAGCATGTGGACAATTTCAACAGAAAGGAAGAAACCATGAAAATGAAAAAAGTCTGACTACCAGTGTTTTAAAAAAATCTAAAATCAGGACAGTAAATAAAGAAAAACACTCAGAAAACAGGGGAATTCCAGACAGGAAACAATGAGGGCCAGTTAACATCTCCCAACAAAGGATCCCTCAGACAGCAACCAACCATGCTTTGAAGCTACAAGGCCATTCAATGCTAATAAAGATGGTCAATTGCAACTTTCACACTTGCCTCCAACAAACAAGAGTTCTTTGTCCCACCCTGGAGATTCCCAGTTTTCAACAGACTTCACAACCTCTGAGGATGCCTGCCATAGATGTGAGCAAAATGTCAGGAGAGAATGTTTCTGGAACTTGGCCATAGAGCCCGGAAAGCTCACAGCAATCCAGTGATTCTGGTCATGAAAGCCTTTGACAACACAATTTTGTTCACGCTATTTCCACCTTAGACAAATTTCTAAATGGGAATGCAAATCAACAAACCATTTCTCTTTCAATCTTACTTTGAAGTGTTCTTTAAAACATCATGTATTGGTTGATCAATGCATGCAGTGTACAAAATCTAATAAAATATAATCAGGTAGGGAAAAATAGCAATACACAGTGAGCTGGATACACGAGAAATTAGTCATATTTAATTTCACTGGTTTCAGTGGATCTGAAATTAGTTTAATTTCCTTTCAATCCAACTGCATTTCCCGATTTGTGCTAAATTTATAGAGGCGCAGTCCATCTGGGAAGTTCTCCCAAATAAGGCATGCTGATGTGAATGAAAGAATGCTGAAACAATAGCACTTCACTACATGTTTCTCAGTCAGTTTTGGCTTCTTTGCCTAGAGACCAGAAACCTACTGGTTAATAGCACTGCGATGATCCCCACTGTGCTTGGGAGAAACTGCTGGAGATACTTGACAGTTACATTCTGAATCCTGCAGATTAAAGCTATGATTAATGCTGTAACACTTTTTCTATTTGGAGAAGGAACTCTTTCAGGTATTCTCTTGTTGAAAAAACTGGGTTCTATATCACATGGAGAGTCTACCTTGGGTATTCATATCTTTCCATGAAGAATAGCAATCCTCTCCCATACTTCTTTCTAGTAGGAACATAATGAGACCAGGGACAGAGGAAGCAGAGTTCCTGTATTGGGTGCTCCTATCCACTCATGTTTAGGTCATACTTTTCCTGAACAGAGCTGATGATGCATATGCAATTATATGCCATTGCTAAGGTAATGAAATCTACACCAGAAATGGCAGGCATCAAATTATTAGTCAGCTCTCAAATTTCATAGAGGTATGGAATCCTTACAAAAGTAGAGAAATCACAAGTAGCTAAAGCCAGAAAACCATATTTCATAGAATCACAGAGTTGGATGAGACAACTAGAGCCATCCAGTCCAACCTGTTGCCATACAGGAACATACAATCAGAGCACTCCTGACAGATGGCCATTCAGCCTCTGTTTAAAACCTTCAAAGAAGGAAACTGGGGGCCTTTCCTGACAGGGCTTTATCACACAAGCATCCACGTTTAAAAAATGTGGATGTTCCTGGGGCCCTGTCCACACACATCCCAGAAAACGTGAGTTTTCTAGGGTGGGTGTCCAGATGTTTTTCTGGGACTGGCCCGAGAGAACACCTATAGACTCTATAGGTCTCAGGAAGTCCTTCCTAATGTTTAGATGGAATTTCTTTACCTGCAGGTTGGACCCATTGCTCTGTGTCCTGATCTCTGAAGCAGCAAAAAAGAAGTCTGCCGCATCTCCAATATGACACCCCTTCAAATATTTAAGCAAATATTTAACCTATTTTCTCCAGCTGCACATAACCAGCTCCCTTCATAGGGCATGGCTTCCAAAATGTTTAATGTCTTGGTCAACCTCCTCTGGACGTGTTCCAATTTGTCAATATCTTTTTTGAAACAATATTTAATATGGTTGTTGTCTCTCTTCCTCTATTACTCACTCATTTGTTCATTCACATTGCATGGGCCACGCAAGAGAGAGGCTACCACATTTGACCCAAATGACTACAACTGTTCATTATTTTACTGGAAACTCTGCAGGGATTGGCAACTGATGGTTCAAGGATAGCTTTCCACCTTGGGCTACAACTGTGGATTTATAATCCCTAATATTCTTCCCTGGAGCCAATGTGATCATCAAACTGAAAGATTACATTTGCTAGGGATAGGGGCAAAGGGCTCCCATGAGAGTGAGAAATCACAAATAAAGAAATTGCTACTTTTTTAAACTGGAAGAACACCTTATTGGGAACTTCTAGGCTTTACTGCTGGAGCCATGATGAAAAAACCTGGACACAGTATATTATTTCAGGATACAGCAATGCTGGACCCCTCTAACAACCACCATGGCAAACTACATGAAATCCACAAGCATGTGGACAATTTCAACAGAAAGGAAGAAACCATGAAAATGAACAAACAATGAAATTCCTAGAGAGGTATTCACTCTAGAAATCTCAAGGTCCTTCACCATGACTGAAGTTGACCATAGAGATATACATGCAGAGTTAGAGATTCCGAAAGAGAACATTTTAACCGAATCCAGGAAGAACAAAATCCACAAAAGTCAAACTGCAAATGTAGAGGGCCGATTGTACTAATTTTCACTGGTGTCTAGTCCTTGTACTCCTTTGTCTTATTTCCTTCCTGGTGATTCAATACAACCCAATCTTTCTTTCTAGTCTTTCCAGCCACACTTTATCTCATTTCTTCAGGTCTATGGCTATACCA